TCGCTATGTAGTTGAGACTGGCCTGGAACTCACTATGTAGCCCAGGCTGGTCTTGAACTCACAGCAATCCTCCTGCCTCAGCCTCCCGAGTGCTGGGATTACAGGTGTGTGCCACCGTGCCCGACTGCATATCTTCTTTTGATAAATGTCTATTCATATCATTTGACCATCAGTGTTTAACATTTTTGATAGGCTGGGGTTTATTTGGTTGGAAAGTTGTTGAAAATTTTAGATATGATATTAGTTCATATCAGAGAAATTATGTTAGTCATTCTAATTTAAATCTTGTTAATAAACTTCCTTCTTAGGTATTACATCAAATACCAATAACGGATCTATGATGGTACATGGTAGTTATGATGAAATTGAAGGAGGTGGCTTCTTGGGTGAGATACTGTGAAAGCTTTTTTTTTTAGTCTTCTTTTTCTGATTATAGAAGTAATATGTGTTCATTATAAAAAAACGAAGAAAACACTTAACAATCATGTCATGTAGCCGTACCTTCTAATAAAGAGTTTTGATTTCCATGCATTTAGAGTTACTTGTTATATTTTCCTCCTGTCAGTACTGGTATCATGGACTTTATTATTATTCTGACTGTATAGACTATTTTCATCAGATTTATTTAAATTTATTTAGCTAGTCCTATAAGTTGAACTTTTAAGATACTTTCATTAAACTTGTTTTAAATTAAAATTTAGTCTGAATACAAAGTTTAGTACATGATATGGGTCTGAGAAGGTAGCGTAGTGGTGGTGCACTTGCCTACCGTGTGCCAGGCCTAGGTTCAGTCTCCAGTACTGAAAATAAAAAGTACTACATGACACGAAAGTGAATTCACTAGACCAAACTTACTTTTGGTTATAGTCTCCATTAACTAGATTTTAATCATTGCTGTTTGTAACTGGTGTTTGTTTTTATTTTATAAAATTGGTAAATGGAAGTATTACATTAAACCAGAAGAGTTTGGAGTTATCATTCCCACAATTTAATGGACCTACGTGTTGATTTCAAGTATTTTGGAGTATAAAATAGAACTTAAAAGTTACCTTGTTTCTAGCAACACCACAGTTTGCTACTAAGAATCCCCAGATGAGCCGAGGTGTTGGATATGCATATCCCTCCTTACCTCCTGGTTATCAGAACACAGCACCACCTACCAGTGCAACTGGAATGCCATCTTCCTTGAATTACCGAAGTGGCCCCCAGGCCTTTCCTCAGGTAAAGTTGTTTTTTTAAAAAACATGTTTTCTACCTTTTGGTTAAAACTGTATATGTATGAAGAAAGTTTTAGGCAGATACAATGGGCCAGGAATGGTGTCACATGCCTGTAATCTTAGCACTTGGGAGGCTAAGGGAGGAGGATTACCATGGATTTGAATCTACTCTGTATTATATAATGAGTTCAAGGCCAGCCTGAACTATATAGCAAGACCCTGCCTTAAAAGTAAAAAAAATAATAAAGAAGGAATATTGAACATTTTGATTGCCTATTGTAAATTCTTTGTACTTAAATGTTTCTTCAGAACTAAAAGATTGACCAGTATCTTAGTTACTTTTCTCATTGCTGAGACGAAATACCTGACTCCCAAAGTTAAGAGAGGAAAGGTTGATTGTAGCTCAGTTTGCAGACATTTCAGTGCATAGTCAGTTGGCTCCAAGGCAGGGGCATGGTAGAGGAGAAACAGTGTGGCAGGCAGAAGGCAGCAAGCAGTGAGCAAGCAGCAGCAGCTCTGTTTCTGTCCCTTATATTTTTCCAGACCACATGCCCTTGGGGCAAGTAGCACTCACACCCAAGGTGGGCCTTCCTATTGTCCCCACTCAGAGCTATGCCGAACCAGTCAGTGGACTGGTTTAGCAATCACACATCCTCGATCCCAGAATTGCACACTCTAGACCCAGCCACCTCTGAAAAGCCCCACTTATGACCGCATGGGGCTTTGGGGGAACATCTAGAAGCAAAGCTATAACAAACAGGAAATTGAGAGTACACTTCTGTTACTAAGAGTGAAATGAACCAAGCTCCTACCACTCAGAAAGGTTACTTATTTTAAAATTATATTTGTGTCTGTAGACTCCCTTAGGTGCTAATCATTTAACGGCAAGCATGAGTGGATTAAGTCTGCATCCGGAGGGCCTGCAAGTTGTCAACCTTCTTCAAGAAAGAAAAATGCTTCCCACAACACCTTTGCAGCCTCCAGCTCCAAATTTACATGAAGACATCCAGAAGCTCAACTGTAACCCAGAGTAAGGCTTCAGATGTTTCTTATTAAATGTGATGTTGTGCATATTGTTTTCTAGTGTTTTTATTTTGGTTTGGTTTGTGTTTGTTTCAGGTATTATGAATAAGGCATACAAATAGGCTAATTTATGAAAAATTTCTGACTATAAAAGGTAGTATACATTTGAGATTTGATTAAATTAACTTCTTTTTGTTTTGTTTTGGTTTTGGAGACAGGATCTTGCTATGTAGTTCAAGTTGGCCTTGAACTCACTGTGGAGGCCAGGCTGGCCTCCACTTCTTGGCATTCATCCTGCCTCAGCCTCCTGAGTGCTGGGCTTGCAGGGGTGCAGCAGCAGAAGTGATGATTTGATGTAAATTAAGAAATAGCGGGGCCGGGGATTTAGCTCAGTGGTGCCACTGCCTGCCTTGCAAGCGCAAGGTCCTGAGTTTGAAAAAAAAAAAAAGAAATAGGTTTATAACATCTGACTTGATTGTTCTTATTAGCTTAATGAGATTATAATATTCATTAGCATTATGGTAGCTACATTCCAAAGTATATCCTAAATACTTGCCGTAAATTTAAATGTATGTAGTAAAGATTCTGATAAATTGAATTTCGCTATTTTTTTATAAAATTATTTTTTATTTGTTATTTTGAAATAGTATTTTTAGAACCTTCAGCAAAACTGAACTTTTATATCATAAACTTTGGCTCGGCCCAGTGGCGCACACCTATAGCCCTAGATCTTCAGGAGGCTAAGGCAAGGGGATCACCTGAGCTCAGGAATTTGAGAGCATCCTGGACAACACTCATCTCAAGCAAAACGAAGTAGTAATAAACCTTGCATATACAAGTTCGGGCCGGGGATTTAGCTCAGTGGTTCCGCTGCCTGCCTTGCAAGCACAATGACCTGAGTGTGATCCCCGGTACCAAAACAAAAACAAAAACAAAACAAAACAAAACAAGTTCATGTCATCACCAAGTAATTCCAGTGTAATCTGGCCTTGAACTCAGGCTGACCTTGAATTTATAATCCCTCCTCATCCTCCCAAATGCTGATATTATAGGTGTGTGCCCCCAGGCCTAGCTTGATTTAATATTAAGATGTGTGCCTTTTAAATTCTTTTTTTTCGGTGTGTGTGTCTCTAATAGTTTTTTTTTTTTGTATTGGGGATTGAACTCAGGACCTTGTGCTTGTGAGGCAGGCGTGGTGCCTCTGAGCTATATCCCTGGCCCCTGTGTGTGTGTGTGTGTGTGTCTCAAAATAATGATAACAGCTACTAACCCATACTTTTTACCTTGATACAGGTTATTTCGATGCACGCTGACTAGCATTCCTCAGACTCAGGCCTTACTGAATAAAGCCAAACTTCCCCTGGGGCTGTTGCTTCATCCTTTCAAAGACCTAGTGGTATGTTTCTCTATTGAAAATGTCTTATGGAAAGTCAGTGGTGAAAAATTTTTGGCAATTCAGGAACCTTATTTAGAATTTCAGCTATTTTAAAAAATTTGATCATTGACAGGTTTTCTTTGTGCTGTTTTGTTATTTATTGCACCTGTCCTGTGTCCCTTTTTCCTCTCTTACTCTATTTTAGATTGGTAATTTAAAAAGATTTTTAATTTATTTTTGAGACAGGGTCTCACTGTGTGGTGCAGGCTAGCAGTGAAGTCAAGGTGATTCTCCTGCCTCAGCCTCCCGATTGCTAGGATAATAGCTGTTCATCAACCACTCACATCAGTCATTGACAGATTTCTTTATAATCCAGGGAATAATTTTACTACTAAACACTTCCAAACAGAGTAAAATAAGTACGTTATTGAAAAATTCAAGAGCTGCTGAGTAGAATAGAAGTACTGAAAACAATAAATACCAGAACGATATTGTTGTAATATGTTATAAATTATTTACCTAATAAAGCTCTTTATCCTAATATACTCATTCTGCCATTCTTGGCATGAAGTTAGTTGCTTTAAGAAGTTGGCCCTCTCAATAAATAAAATAAAAAAGATAATAGTTCCAAAAGGGAAAAACCCTGATCTACCTTTGTCCTGAGGCTCTGGGACCTTGACACCTGTCCACATGCTCTTGAAGATTGGTGTTTGTTTCCCAAACCAAACCTCCATTTGGCGATAAGATTTTGTTTTCTTTTTGAAATCTTCCAGTGCTGGAATCACATCTGCAGCCTCATGTACTAGACAGGTGTTCTACCACCAAGCTGTATGCCCAGCTTTATTGATTTTTGACATGACAACTTTAGAGCCTTAATATGTAAGATAAACTTTAGATGTAATTTAACTTCATAACAAATCTTTTGTGAAGTCTAGTAGGCCTCATAATTTCACATCAGAAGCTTTGTAATGAGCTGGGCTTGGTGAGCTGGTGTAGTGTTACATGCCTATAATCCCAGCGTAGCAGGCAGAGACAGGAGGGTTTTCAGTTTGAGACCAGCCTGACTGTAGAGTGAGACTTTTTCACAAAGAAAGCTTTGTAATAATCTCATTGTTATGGAATGTTTTCCTGTTTCCTCTGCCATCTATCCCAGAAAGTATACTGTCTTGGTTTTGTAGTGTGTTTAATGAGAAGACAAATACTTATTTGATTCATTGATTAATTGATTGTTTTTTCTTTATGATTTTATGAGACAGGGTCTCGCTATGTAGTTTATTCTGGCCTTGAATCATTGCGATCTTCCTCTCTCAGCTTCCTGAATGCTGGGCATGCATGTGCCACCATGTCCAGCCAAATATTTGTTTTAAAAGGCAGATTTTAATGGGAAGGATGACAGAGAAAGTAGGATTTAAAATCAATACTTTTAAGTTATGTAATTTTTTTTTTCTTTTTCTTTTTGATACCGGGGATCAACTTGGAACCTTGTGCTTGTGAGGCCAATGGTGGAACCACTGAGCTAAATCCCCAGCTACATAAATTTTTTGTGTGGCAAAATTTTTTTCTTTCTTTTTTTGCTACTGGAGATTGAGCCTAGGACCTTCCTACTGAACTACATCCCAGCACCCTTCTCCCCTTTTTTGCTTTTTATTTTGAGACTGGGTCTTTCTAAGTCACTAAATTATATAGGCTAGGTTTGAATTTGTCATCCTCCTATCCTGCCTCAGTGACCCTTCTGTCTGCCTTTGCTTCCCAGCATGCTGGGATTATAAGTGTGTATGACCACACTTGATTTTTTTTTTTTTGGTAGTGGGGTTCGAACTCAGGACCTTCCACTTGTGAGTCACCACTGAGCTAAATCCCTGGCCCATCACACTTGATTTTGTGTGGGAATTTTTGGATTTTTTTTTTTT